CCTGCAGTTGGTGCCAATTTTACCCACCACTCCCAAGCTTAACACAGTGCCCTTTTGAAAATTAGAACTATATTTTCAGTCTTCTAGCCCATTCTGTACTCTCTTGCAGTGGTTCCAGATGTCATACATAAGTTGCCATAGTGCTAGGGGTAACATTTTCCAGACCCCAAGACTCAAATTCACTTCGAGTGGCTAAGATTAAATAAGTCTGTTGACAGTTACAGGAATTAACTTCCTTAAATTTGAATATTTTTCCATTAAAGCAAGACTTTTCTGAGAAAGGATTGGCATACCCTGTCTCAAAGAGAAAGAAGGAAATGGTAATTGACAATGACCTTTCTCCCATGTATCAGACAGAAGTTCTGAGTGATAGTACCTGTGCTTGAAAAACTAAAAGCACTTTTTTTTTCTGCCTTAATTTTTTTTTTAATTTAAGCTGTTACATTATCTTTATCTATAGTGCCCTCCCAACTCTCCATTCTCCCACTTGCCTTAGGTATTGTGTTCTCAAATCATGTGTCTTTTTTTTAAACACAAAAATATTTTCTAGCCACTCCAAAGATCTGGGAATAATAGGGTAAGTGGTAACTGATTTGGAGTTTTCTATTCTTTGAAAAAATTATTAAAATAATTAGTATGTCTTTCATAAATTATAAGTAGGTTAACTGAGCATTTATCTTAAAATAATTCTACCTTCATTATTTATTTTTAAAACTGTGGTAACATTGGACCATCCTATCCACGTGTGGAACAAAGGTTTGCCATCTTCCTTATTACTGGGAATCCAAGCCAGTCTCTTGGCCTCAGGAAGGCCTTTATTTAAGAGAACTTTATGTTCTTTAAGAAAACATTTTTTTTTTAAATCTGTGTTTTCTTCAGTAGAACATGAGTAGGTAGTGAATTAAACCACATCAAATAAATTGCACCATTTTCTATCCTTCCACTTTTTGTCACCACGGTGTCTTCTTCCGAATGGCAGTGTTGAGTTTGTGAAAGGGAGAATCCTGTAGGTCTGTGACGTAGACACCTGTGCCCTGAGCACTCCTTCCTGATGCTACTGCTGCACTGTGCAAGGTGGAACACCATGTTTGTAACTTTGGAATATTTACTCATATTTTTAATGCTAACATGTCCTACTAAATAAATATGTAAATGAAACAGTGAGAATACAACTTGAATGGACATTGAAGAGCAAGAAGATGATGGGGGAGTGAAGGTCATGTAACAGACTTCTTAGGGCTGCACCTGTTTGTCCTGATTTCATCTGTGTTAAGAAATAACATGGACTTCTTAAAGCTCTTCAATCATGGCTGTCTTTCAAGATTAAAGGGAGGCTGTAATATTTCTGCTAATTAATCTAGAATATGACCAAGTTGAGGAGGTAGCTTAGTTAGTTGGACACACATACAAAAAAATTGCAAGGCTGTTTCTTAGGCAGGAATCTCCAATTTGGGGATTGTCTTGTGAGCAGAGATAGTGCCTAATAAGTAGGCAGGAGTAAAACGGTACATAAATGTTAATAGAATCACATTTTTAGGCACATCCTTTAAAAAAAATTCTTTATTGTTTAAAGTATTACATATAATATTATATATGTCTCCTTTTTCCCCCATTGACCTCTCGCCAGCCTTCCCATCCTTCTACCCTTCTCCTCCCCCTGCCCCTTGCTTCCCTCTGAAGTTTGATAGGCTCTTCCATGCTTCTCTGGCTCTGGCTCTATTTTTGTTCATCGGTTTATGTTGCTCATTATATTCCACAAATGAGTGAAATCATGTGATATTTATTTTCTCTGACTGGCTTGTTTCGCTTAGCATCATGCTCTCCATGTCCTTTCATGTTTTCTGAATGGTAAGAGTTCTATTCTTTTTTACAGCAGCATTAGTATTCCGTTGTAGGTGAATCCCTTATTGGATCCTGGGAAAGTCAGATTTTCCTTTTATTTACACGCAGATACTTTAAAATATAAAACCTATTTTTATTCAATATTTGGGGTATGAGAAGAAGGTTCTACAGACTGTTCCAGCCATAAAGAGAAAAATATAGTGGGAAGAGGGCACATCAGACTAGTGGTTCTTCAATTGTGAAGGGATGGAAATTTCAGGTAACTGGAGAGGAATGACACATTTGAAAGAGACGTTGGAGATGTCTAGATCTTTCAGGAAGGGACACTTCAGAGTAGCCCAGTAGCTCGGCTTACAGGTTGAGATAGAGCCATTCATTCGGCAACTATTCAGTGGCCTGTACCCGGCACCACCATTGCCCCTGGAGCTCCAGCAATGGGGCTCCAGGTAGGTCCCTCAGGTGGGGTACTTCTGGGGCATTTCTCTTATGGCCTTCCTGTAGGCAGTTGCCTTGTCAGCTGGTCCTGCCAGGAGGAATCCTTCATCTAACAGATACAATATTGATCTTCTTTCTCCCCAGCTAATATCAGCATCAGTCCCTTTCCTCTCTGTCCTGCCCACCCTTCTTTGCCATCAAGGTCTCTTGAGAGAAGATGGATCTCTCAGGACTGAATGGGAGATTTGTTTTATTTCTCCCTTATCCTTGGCAAGGACTCTCGTTGTTTTTTTTTTGTTTGTTTGTTTTTTTTTTAACAAATAAGACAGAACATATCAATAGGAAAAGAAAAATAAGAATTTTCCTTGCCAGTGTTGCTTAGTTATCTTGTCAACATTCCCTTACTGCCCAGCTAAATTCTCCCTGCATATTTTTATGGTGCACATCATGTTTTATTGCTATAATTGATCTATTAAACAGAAAATATGGAGAACATATGGAGTTCCTGTCCATTTTATGCTGTTTATTTGGATTTCCATGTTTCTCTTTCCACAAGACCTCATTCCTTATCATCTTTTTTTCATTCTAACCTGAGTAGCAATGGGAAGGAATCGCATCGCTATCTATATTGGTGCTTTTAGCTTTGTAGCTTAAAAAGCAAAACTCAACAGGCTAACCTCAAAACTAGACATCACACTGTGGATATTTCAAAGGAAGGGACCAAGTTTTTAGTTGCTCTGTGTTCTTTCTGCCTTAGCCCTATGTCTGCCACATAAAAGGCCTTTAGTAAATGTTTATTGCTTAAAAGAACAATTGGTTTTACATATTTATTGAGAACTAGCATTGTAGTGGGTGCTATTCATAATACAGAATGTGCTTATAGTTTCTACCCAGGGAGCAAAACTTATGACTTGTTCTTTTCTTCCTGGAGACAACGAGGACAGAGAATAATGACTGTTACTGCCAACACTACATTTTATTTAGTGCAAGTAGCTTTTCTGCACGAGGCTGTAGCAGAAGCAGTATCAGCAGCCACTTTCCATCTGGTATTTATGAAAAGGTATTTACTGGCAATCTCCTTGCTTCAGGGTGCTGTGCTGTCCAAATCAATCAAGATCAAAATACCCGGTCATTGTCACCATCTGTCAAGGCCATTGTATTCAAAACAGTGAGTCTCTGGGTCATTCTCTTTCTCACACACACACACATATGCAAACTCAACTGAAAACTGTGTTTATGATGCCAAGAAAACACCAATTGAAAGTTTATTTAATCATCTCTTTCCCCAGCCAGCCAGGCTCCCCTTCAAAGCATATTCTTCTTAGATTTTATTAAAATGCAGACTTAGATCTACTAAGTCTGGGAGGAGGCCCAAGAGTCTGCATTTCTAATAAGATCCCTTAGTAAGATCAGGGCTAGATAATTAAAGTATCATCCATGGACCAGTACCGTGGTCGGCACACTGTAGCTTGTGAGCCACTTGGCCCCTTGAGTATGGCTCTTCCACAAAATACCACGGCCTGGGCAGATCTATTTTGAAGAAGTGGTGTTTAAAAAATTTGTCTCTCAAAAGAAATTTCAATCATACTATTGATATTTGGCTCTGTTGACTAATGAGTTTGCCAACCACTGGACCAGTAGATTGGGCACCATCAGGGAGCTTGTTAGAAATGCAGATTCTGCACTGGCTGGTTTACTCGGTGGTTAGAATACCTGCCTGTGCACCGAAGGGTCTCGGGTTTGATTCTGAGTCAAGAGCATGGACATGGTTGCAGGTTCTATCCCTGGCCCTGGTTGGGGCATGTGCCAGAGGCAACCAATTGATGTGTCTCTCTCATATCAACTCTCTCTCTCTCTCTCTCTCTCTCTCTCTCTCTCTCTCTCTCTCTCTCTCTCCTGTCTCTTCCCCCATCCCCTTCCTCTCACTCTCTCTAAAAATCAGAGGAAAAAATATCCTCAGGTGAAGGGGTGAAGATGAACAAAACAACAAAAAGAAAGAAACGCAGATTCTTAGGTGCCATCTCAGACATACTGGGTCAGAACCTGGGTTTTAACAAGATCCCACATTAACATTTGAGAAGCATTGCTCTAACCATTTACTATGCCTATAATATAAGTTATAGGCAGGAATCCTGATGGGGCTCTGGGTTGGAAAATAAGGCAGATAGACTTCCTGTTCCCATTTCAAAACTCTTGTGTACCCCTCCCCCAATGGCACCGGATAAAGCACAGACAGATGTTTCTTTGTTTAGTCATTCAGTGGCTTGATGAATTTGTTATCTATCTTGACTACCGTGTTCATCTGTAACACCTTGGAGAGGTCCCTTGGGCCTATGATTACACAAGGAGGAGAAACCAGGGATTTGACCAAGATCACGAATATGGATTCCCAGGGTTTTGGCTTTACCTGCACATCCATATTGTCTGGATGGAAGTGGGCACAGCGAAATGCAAAATGGAAATCTGGTCTAAGCCTTTGTCATTTCTTAAATGGATCCTGGGCACTTAGAGACTCTTTTTTCTCCTTTAGGAAGAAACATGAGCTTCCCCCGGAAATCACTCAAGTGGAAGATGGAAGGGGCCATTTAACATAGAAGCTGCAGGCCGCAAGACTGGGGCCAGAGGGCTGGCAGTGGAAAACTCTGTTGGGTTGTGACCTCTCGCTGGGAAGTTCCAGGTGCTTTTTTGCTTCCTGCAAAACCAAGGAAGAGAAGGAGAAGACCATGTCCATAGCTCTGAAGCAGGTGTTCAACAAGGACAAGACCTTCCGGCCCAAGAGGAAATTCGAACCCGGCACCCAGAGGTTTGAGCTCCACAAACGAGCTCAGGCGTCCCTCAACTCAGGCGTGGACCTGAAGGCGGCGGTGCAGCTGCCCAGTGGGGAGGACCAGAATGACTGGGTGGCTGTGCACGTGGTGGACTTCTTCAATCGGATCAACCTCATCTACGGCACCATCTGCGAGTTCTGCACCGAGAGGACCTGCCCTGTGATGTCAGGGGGCCCCAAATACGAGTATCGGTGGCAGGATGACCTCAAGTACAAGAAGCCGACCGCACTGCCCGCTCCCCAGTACATGAACCTCCTGATGGATTGGATCGAGGTCCAGATCAACAACGAAGACATCTTCCCAACATGTGTGGGTAAGTCCGTGGCCAGCTCCTTGGTTGTTTTGTCACATCCCACCTGAGCTCAGAAGGTGTGCTGAGGCTTCTTCCAGGACTGCCTTTGAACATTGCATACCACACCTCATCAATCAGTGTTTCCCCAGATTCTGTCTCTCACGCACCTGCAGTTTCTTTTTCTATATCTAAGAACCCCATTGAAATTTTGAAAAATACCATTTGTGGAGCAATCATTTCATGGACCTCAGTCATGAAATTATGCCTATCACAAGCTGGGGAACATTGTCTTGGTGAAATGTTAGATTTGATCTTGCTGGCTTCCTTAGGAGTAGACTCTAACCCTACCCAGTCATTCTGGTAAGGTTCTTATTATTTACTAATTAACTAGTTAAAGTTACATGATCTCTGGTGCAGTTATTGGTATTTACCGCTCGGATTAAGAAATCCTAATGGGAGAATCCATGGATTGGATTTGTGTGGGGACCAATCCAACAAGGGTTTAACATTCTGGGAAAATAAAGATCCTGCCATTCTGTTCTTCCCTCTCCTGCTCACAGGTTATTTATATCCCAGGTTATGCTGTCAACTCTGGACCCTTGTGCAGTTGCTAGACTCACCAGGACGCTTGAAATACAAATGCTTTTGTTTCCCTTGTGCTCTGAGTTATAAAACTCTTCCAGGGGAAGAGCCAAACCTTTTCTACTCCTTGTATTTATTTCCTTATGCTGCTGTTTCCATGCACTTGATGGGCCGAATTTAAAATTCAGGATTTTTAGGCTTGAGGTTCAACAGGAAAGAGCAATCTCCTTACTTCCATTGTCATATCTCCAGTGTCCAGCTAGCCTGGTGCCTGGAAACCCTTGCAGGCACTCAGGAAATATTTGTGGAATGACTGAAAAAATACTTGTGCTGTTAGAAAGTATTATTTAAAAGCTCTGAAATGGTTGGCGGATAAAAAAAGCGTTTGAAATGCATTGCTGAAATCACTTCTCCTTGGGATGTGTGTGTCCCCATGTGGCATATGGAAACTTGAGGTGGGGTGTATGGAAGTAATTAAGTTAATATTACAAGAAAGTGTATAAATTTATTAAGGCAGTGTGTACATCTTGAAATATTCAGCACACAAACCAGTTCGCTCAGAATCACGGTGTTGCCTTGAATTGTGCAGTCCCCTCATGCTCTTTCTCTCCGCTGCGCCTTGTTAAGGAAGGAGGTTGGGGGCGGGGTGCAAATGCTTCCTCACCAGAGTAGGAGGAAGAGGGCAGATTCAAACCCCTCTGGCCAGCCATCTAATAGGCACTCCATGGGCAAGAATCTCTTAGGCTCATGTCTTTTTTGCACTTTCTTTGACAGTCAGAGGCTCCTTTTGTTGCTGGGAAGGTTTTTTCTTTTCCAAAAGCATCACCAGCCATTGAGCACATGCTAGCAATCAAAGTAAATAAATGTGGGCCAGGAGACTCCTCTTTGTCCTTTCCCTTCTGTTCCTGCTCCCTAATGCTTTGAACTCCGGGCATTTCTGCTCTTGCTGGCAGCTGTGGCTACTACGTGGAGTGGGTGACTAGAAACCACATCAGGGCCAAGGTGTGTTACTTGAGGATGAGGAAATTCCCAGAGGTGGTTTTAGACTTTGCTCGGAGGAAATCAGGGAGTGTCCCCTAGAGTAACTGACTTTGCTATCTTTTTCTAGACATTTTTTTTTTTTAAGCCATTCACTTGGTTTGGGGGCATAGTCTCCTCATCAGATTCCTTCTCAATTTATGCTCCACAGTTCACCATTGTTCTGGGAGATTTTAATAGGTGCACCATGATTTTTCCCCATGAAAAGATAAGTTTGGGAAGTGCTGAGTGAAATTGATTTCTTTATTGCAGGACTTTTAATATGCTAATATGCATTATAAATATCCAAGAAAGGAAAAATACTTTAGTATGTGGTATTTCCTAATTTGAACCTGCTGGCTTTTTTTTTTTTTTTTTTTTTTTTTTTTTTTTTTTTTTAATGAAACATCATTATCATCTTTTGGGAAATGTTGATTTATATAAATTAGAGTTGTCAGAGTTTTGTTTGTATCAGAATTACTTGGGGCTTCTGTTAAAAAAATATAAATTTCCTGTTTGTTTATTTTTCTTAACAACTAAATTGTTAAGAAAACCTAAGAATTTGCACTTTTAATAAGAACCCAGCACTCTATCCTCTGTTTATTATAACTACCCAGGATGCTTTTAATTCCCCAGAAAAGGTGTGTTTCTTACCTCTCTGGTTTTATCCACACTGTTCTCTTTTTCTGGATTCACCATCTTCTCTTGCATCCTTGATACTATGTCTTCTTCCACCAATTGAGTGTAAGCCCCTTACAGTTATGGAATATGTCTTATTCATTTGACTGTCCCAGCACTAATTCAGTCTTGGTGCCTTGTAAGTTGTTGAATGGGTGGGTGGGAGGATGGAATGATGGATGGACGGACAGAAGGAAGGAAGGAAAAACAATTTTTCTAAAGTCCCAACATGTCTACATATGTTGCTGGTGATCAAAGTGAAGTTAAGCAAATGTCTCTGAATCTCTTTAGTATCATCCTGGGTATTTTGTGTACCTTGCCTCCACAAAGTTTAATTTTCCCTGTTTAACTTTTCCAAGGTGAAAAGTTAGGGCTCAGTAAAAACAACCACCATCCACCATCACCCTGAGGGTCTTCATGATTTGCTCTCAGACCATATTTTGCTACTTTTTGAAATAACTTATCTTCAGGAGCCACTTTCTTTATTGGAATTCACTTCCTTCTCTTCTTCCTCCTCCCTATTCCAGCCTACTTTTCTTCTTTTTGATCTTTGTGCTGCTATGAGTCATCATTATCATGAAATTGATGGAGACACCTGTCAGGATAGAGCAAAAGAGGAATTCTCAACCAACAGCAGACCCTGGGTGGGTGAGAAATGGGGACTTCTGCTTAGCATTACAGCTTTGAATCCCAGGCATACTTTCTGGAGTGTGGGAGGGGCTCCAACTTCGCCTCCTCCCCACTGTGATCCAAGGAAATGGAACCAGAAAATGCTGACAGATGTGAAGGCTTCGCCCTTCATTAGGTATTAAAGGATATAAACAGCTGTTGATCAGTACCATTGAAATATGGAGGAAAGAAACGCTTTCATCTGCTCCTAGATTCCAGGGTAACCAGGAGACCCGGGCTGTTTCAGAAGTTGAGCTTTCTCAGTTGGGGAAATACCAAGCAGATGTGGCTCCCTAGTGAACCATAGTCTCCTGCACTTTCCTTGATCCTCTCCAGCTTCCTTTGTTAAAAAGCCAACAGATGTCCCCATTAAAGCTCTAAGGTAGCAGTAACTTCAGAAGCAAGGCCATCCCCTCTTCGATTGTATCTCTATCCGCTTTTAAAGATAATGACAGAAAATAGGAAGCCTACAGAGCCGCAACCTTTTTTTCCTGTTATCTGTCTACTTATAATAATTTTTATGTCCTAGTCCTCAGCTTCCCATTTTTTCTATTATGTAATAGGATTTACTATCTTAGATTTGACACACAGAAAAAAAAAAATGAGTAGAAAACTTAGAGCTCCTCCAACTCATGTTTTAAAAAAGTCTTTGAATGTGGAGCAAAAAGAACATTTTAAAAAATAATTACATGATCTCACCTACCTCTGAGGTTTTAGGATAAATGGGTGTCAAAAAGGAAAGATCAGGGAGAGGAAGGGAAGGAGCGAGGAAGAGAATTCATATTTATTGAGTCTGCTAAGTGCCAGGCACTATTTTTCTTAATTCTTATAATAACTCAATGAATTAAATACCTCAGTTTACCAATGAGCAAGCTGGTATTTAAACAAGCTAAGGGGCTTTCGGGTTTTACAGCTGATAAGTCATTCACAAGTCAGCATTGTAGCTCAGAAGTGTCTTGCCAAAAATCGATGCCTTTGTCCACTACCATTCACAGTATGTTTCATTATTTTGTAAAATTTCCTGCTCATAACTGAAGACTTCAGTGGTTTTAGGAGGTTGTCTAGGATGGAGACAATGTCAGAAAACCCAGTTTTTAATATTTTAGATTTGCCTTTCTTTCTTTTTTTTAATATATTTTATTGATTTTTTTTTTAAACGAGAGTTAAAAACGTCGACGAGAGAGAAACATCGACCAGCTGCCCTTTGCACACCTCCTACCAGGGATGTGCCCCCAATCAATGTACATGCCCTTGACCGGAATTGAACCTGGGACCTTTCAGTCTGCAGGCCGACGCTCTACCACTGAGCCAAATCAGTTTCGGCTAGAAAACCCAGTTTTTTGCTATACTTTTAAAAGAAACGACTTGGTTTTGATTTTATTCTCTCCTAATTACCTCCGGCATGCCTGAGGAGTTTATGACCATTATAGCTGTTTCCATGTCGCATCCCAAGATTGGACAGAGGATGACATAGCCCATAAAAGGCTTTGTGAACTCATGACTACCGTTACCGCCATTTGGTCATTCATTCATTCATTCATGTTTGTAGAGCACCGGCTTGGAAGCCAGTTCTATTTAGGCTCCCAGAGAGCAAGGCAGAGATCCTGTCCTTGAGCAGCCTACCTCATGTCCAGAAAGTCTAGTTGCTCCAAATTGCTCTGCATGTTTTCCAACATGAGTAGTTTGTTCAGCAGCCAAGTGCATAGTGGAAAGAGTTGCATCCCTCTGGCAACTTTTCTCATGAGCCTACAGCTGAGTTTCATCTTCTCTCAAAATATTGTGGCAGGAAACACGAGACCAGAAAACTGTTCATAGCCATGAGCTTTTCAGTCATGGGCTGTCGGAGAACTGAGTTTATAATGGGCTTTTAAATTTTAGCTTAGCATTTTCTATTGCATGTTTCCCTCATGGTATTTTAATTTTGAAAGAAATGTATGTAATACTGGTAAGACAGAATGTACATCAACAAAATAGACTTCAGTGTGGTAGACCCAGCACTAGGCTTGTGCACCGAGACCTGGAGGAGGTCAGCTAGCTCTGCATTGCAGATGCTTGCGACACTGGTACAGCCTCTG